TTCAATATGCTCAAATAGAAATAAGGCCATGTTCATTAAAAAAAGTATCATCCTCCCTCATTTTAAATGGCCCCGACCGCCACTGGTGTATACTAGTCGTTCTGCCATCAGATTAGAGTGAGAGGCAGGGGGTTTGCTGTCTTACATGGCTGGAATGATGGTCCCTAGGCCTGATTGGCTGTTCTAAAACCAGCAGAGAGAAGGAAGAGGACAGCCTACTGTATCATCAGTCCTGCTTCTAACAGTGAACTCTGAAGTTAATAAAGTCATGAATAATCAGATGATGATTAACATACTTATATGTTTCAGATTTTTGCACGGTATCTACACTGACAGTTGAAGTCGGAAGTTTACATACACTTAGGTTGGAGTCATTAAAACTTGTTTTTCAACCACTCCACACATTTCTTGTTAACAAACTATAGTTTTGGCAAGTCGGTTAGGACATCTACTTTGTGCATGACACAAGTAATTTTTCCAACAATTGTTTACAGACAGATTATTTCACTTATAATTCAATGTATCACAATTCCAGTGGGTCAGAAGTTGACTGTGACTTTAAACAGCTTGGAAAATTCCAGAAAATGATTGTCATGGCTTTAGAAGCTTCTGATAGGCTAATTGACATCATTTGAGTGGATGTATTTCAAGGCCCACCTTCAAACTCAGTGCCTCTTTGCTTGACATCATGGGAAAATCAAAAGAAATCAGCCAAGACCTCAGAAAAAATGTGTAGACCTCCACAAGTCTGGTTAATCCTTGGGAGCAATTTCTAAATGCCTGAAGGTACCACGTTCATCTGTACAAACAATAGTATGCAAGTATAAACACTACGCAGCCGTCATACCGCTCAGGAAGGAGACGCGTTCTGTCTCCTAGAGATGAACGTACTTTGGTGCGAAAAGTGCAAATCAATCCCAGAACAACAGCAAAGGACCTTGTGAAGATGCTGGAGGAAACAGGTACAAAAGTATCTATATCCACAGTAAAACGAGTCCTTTATCGACATAACCTGAAAGGCCGCTCAGCAAGGAAGAAGCCACTGCTCCAAAACCGCCATAAAAAAGCCAGACTACGGTTTGCAACTGCACATGGGGACAAAGATTGTACTTTTTGGAGAAATGTCCTCTGGTCAGATGAAACAAAAATAGAACTGTTTGGCCATAATGACCATCGTTATGTTTGGAGGAAAAAGGGGGTGCTTGCAAGCTGAAGAACACCATCCCAACCGTGAAGCACGGGGGTGGCAGCATCATACTGTGGGGGTGCTTTGCTGCAGGAGGGACTGGTGCACTTCACAAAATAGATGGCATCATGAGGAAGGAAAATTATGTGGATATATTGAAGCAACATCTCAAGACATCAGTAATGATGGTAAAGCTTGGTCGCAAATGGGTCTTCCAAATGGACAACGACCCCAAGCATACTTCCAAATTTGTGGCAAAATGGCTTAAGGACAACAAAGTCAAGGTATTGGAGTGGCCATCACAAAGCCCTGACCTCAATCCTATAGAGAATTTGTGGGTAGAACTGAAAAAGCGTGTGTGAGCAAGGAGGCCTACAAACCTGACTCAGTTACACCAGGACTGTCAGGAGGAATGGACCAAAATTCACCCAACTTATTGTGGGAAGCTTGTGGAAGGCTACCCGAAACGTTTGACCCAAGTTAAACAATTTAAAGGCAATGCTACCAAACACTAATTGAGTGTATGTAAACTTCTGACCCACTGGGAATGTAATGAAAGAAATAAAAGCTGAAATAAATAATTCTCTCTAATATTATTCTGACATTTCACATTCTTAAAATAAAGTGGTGATCCTAACTGACCTAAGACAGGCAATTTTTATTACGATTAAATGTCAGGAATTGTGAAAAACTGAGTTTAAATGAATTTGGCTAAAGTGTATGTAAACCTCCGACTTCAACTGTATATGTACATTAATGAACAATATTTTCAAGTGAAATGAAATAGAACAGTAATAATTACTGTACCTTTTCTCCAAAGTCCACCATGAACAACATGCCTATGTGTGATCGGTCACTTCAACCGCAGTATATTGCGGCATCAGAGTTTGATTCAAACATGTGAACAGAGTCCTCTATAGGTGTCAGCTAATGGCCATTTCCTGCAGTTTGTTTTTTGACTGACATTAGAAAGGTGACAAGTGCATCAACCACAGTGTGAGGTGACAGCAACTATAAGGCTGGAGCCAGAGTTGACCTGATATTATTGGTTAGTAAAGCGTTTCCCAAACTAGGGGTCGCCTGATATGGGGTCACCTGATTTTAAAATGGGGTCGCCAGAGAAACTAGCCGCTAGATGCGGTTGTAAAAAATAGAGCGGTTTCAGTTTTCTTCCTACAAATGTGGCTCTATCTTTGGAATGGTTTAAACTATAAATATTATGACCCCATCACTGAAGGATAATACTCTCAGGAACATGTATGTGTCTTCTGTTTCACTCTACAATTCCCAGAAGCCAGAACAGACTGAACAAGACCAGGCACTAAATCAGACTGGGGGAAAAAGAACATCATCAATGATGGTGTTATTTTCTAAACAAAAGGACATACGACATTATTGCCTTATGATCATCTGAACTTCCCAATACCTTTCTGGTGCATTTCAGTCACTTCAAACCATACTTCCTTCAGATTTAAAAACGGTCAAAAGTACTGTTAGACTGATTTGTAATAGACTGTCATAGCTCCAATTCAGAAAAGTAAACATTGGCCTTTGATTACATATCTTTCTGTACATGGTTGGGTCGCAAAAAATATTTGATATCAAAATGTGGTCGAGGGCAAAAAAGTTTGGGAACCCCTTGGTTAGTAGCTATGACACCCAGACATATCTGCATGCTATGATCTGAAAACAAGTATGGGTAGCTGCAGTCCAATATTTTGACCGGTGTATGGGTGAGTGGGTGTGTCGAAAGGAGTGGGTGTATGGAAAGCGAATCAGCTAATTTGTTGCCACTCAAGACCATTTTGCATGGCTGATTTGGCTGAATGATGAGTTGATAAGCCGGCGACCAGTGCACAAGTGTTGTATCGATGTGCCTGCCGACCTGACGTGCTTCTTACTGAGGAGCTATATCACGGTCATGTCGCCAGCGGTAGCTAACGTGGTCATGTTTTACCATCCCATTATTTGATTTGAAGTAGGATAGCAGCATACACAATAACTAATATTGATAACCATCTAGATGTCACCTTGATACATACATACAGTCTACTACTCAATAGGGAGGGCATGAACAGCAACAACACCGGGACACAGTGCCCTTTGCTCCCGTTTGCCAAGCACTAATGTCCGGCAACGGTGTGGGAAGTAGCTACCTACTGTAGTAGTCAATATGAGGGTGACAGTCACAGTAAGCACACACATACAACGCATGAAGTAACAGTACACCCATCATCAGTACTTTTAATAAAAAATAAAAAATTGTCAGTTTCATAACTGAAAATGTGCAATTATTTGTGTAAAACTAACAATGAAATATGACTCAGAGTCATGCTCTGGCTTCAAAACAGACGTCCAAACTCTCATGGTATGGTAGCTCAATGTATGGTAGTTGTGTGGTAAGAAACTGAAGAAAAAAAAACACAGCTCAATCAAAACACTCTAACCTATAGCAGAGAGCTTTTGACACACCATCTCCTTTCCACACACCCACTACTTTCCTTTTGACACACCCACTCGGCCATTTTCCAGATACCATATTGGACTGCAGCTACCCCCCTTCTCGCAAAAACGCCTGTTTCTGAAAAGACTTGTCTACCTTTGTAGCTGTATCTAGTCAGGCTAGGGTTAGGGTTACGCTAGGGTTACTGTTAGGGTTAGGGGTGAGGTTAGGGATAGGGTTAGAGTTAGGCTAGGGGGTTAAGGGTTAGGGCTGGGGTTGGGGTTAAGGGTTAGGGTTAAGGCTAGTGGACAGTTATTTTGAACATGTATAATCCATCTGTAGGGGACTATACAAATAAAGCCTTACCAGCACTAACCCTGATAGGGTGAAGCCTTGTGGTCACCTATGAACCCCACCTAACCCAAACACCTATATGAACCCCACCAAACCCAAACACCTATATCAGTTGTTCCCAAAATTCTTTGGCCTGCGACCCAATTTTGATATCCAACATTTTTCGAGACCCCACCATATGAAAAGAGTGATGTAATCAATGGCCAATGTTTACTTTCTAATTGGTCTAGTACAAATCAGTCTAACAGGACTTTTTACATTATTTCAATCTGAAGGAAGTATGGTTTGAAGTGACTGAAATGCATCAGAAAGGTATTGGGAAGTTCAGAAGATCACCAGGCAATAAAGTTGTATGATCTTCTGTGTGGAAAAGAATATCATATGTTTTTTTCCTTCCCAATATTATTTAGTGGCTGGTCTTGTCTACTCTGTTCTAATGAGTCCTGAGTGCTTGTGGGCATTTTAGAGGGAAATAGAAGACACATAAGTGTTCCTAAGAGTCTTATCTTTCAGGGATGGGGTCGGAATATGTTGTAACTTAAACCGTTCAAAAGATAGAGACGCATTTGTAGGAAGAAAACAGAAACTGCTCTGTTTATTACAACAGCAACTCGCGGCTACCGGACGTTACTGACGTAACCCCGGTTCTATGAACCAAGAGCGATTTTGTACATCTTATTTTAGATTTTTTCTTGTGACACCATTTTTAAATCAGGGGACAGAGACTACATGGGGTCGCAACCTTTAGTTTGGGAAACGCTGACCTATATGAACCCAACCGAACCCAAACACCTATCGCAATTTTGATTCAACACAAATATGCTACATTTCTGTTTTTACACTCCACATAACACATCTGTGTCAATTTTGCTTCCTGTAAATAGACATTGTGGTCCAATATCAACTACCACGCCCACTACCAATGAAATCCCCTTTGATCTCACTGTGATCTCAGAGTGAATAAAGATGTGTTCTCTGATTCACAACCAGACAGAGCAGAATAGATCTACACACAGAATGGTGAGAACCTTCCTACCAGCTCTACTGCTCTATGGATTGAGTAAGTAAGCTACTTACTGTTAAATCTAACAAGATTGACTTCATCCGTCAAGTATAACCAGAATGTTCAGTGCAGCACTTCTTCCTGATTTCTAAAATATCCATGTGATATCAGCGATTATAGTCATTATCTTTGGACTTTGTTCTTTGTGTTTCAGGTTTGGACTCTGTTTTGGTTTTTCAGTCTCAGACTGTGGAGGTCCGTACTGGGGATACCATCTTCTTGCAGTGCTCCAATGTTACAACGGTTGTGGGACACACAGCATGGTTCAAGCAAGTCAACGGATCAGAGCCTGTCTGTATCTCATCTATGTACGGCTTTAATTCAACACCTTATCTCCACAATGGTTTTCAAAGGAGCCATTTGAAATGTTCAGCAACAACACCACTATCTTTCTCAAAATCACAAAAGTGGAAATAGCTGACTGTGGCCTGTATTTCTGTGGATTGTCATCCACATAGCCACATGTTCTTTGTCAACGCAACAGTTCTAAAAATTCAAGGTACGTTATCAACTATTTATCTGGCTTTTGATACATTTGAAAATGTTTATCAACCTATTCAGGAGTTATCATGAAAGAAAGGCAAACCATTGATGGACATATTTTTTATCATTCTAATTTTGAGAAAAAATACTTATCTATTCTTATTAATCTCAATGTTATAGGGCACAACGGAGGTAAGGAAATACAGGAGTCATCTAAAGAGCGTGAGTTTCTTTTTTCATTGTCATGTAGATTATTATTTTTGAAATGAAGAAACAAAAACGCATAATGATGAGGTCTGTCATTAAAGGGCCACCAAATGATTTAATAACATGTCATCTAATAGGACATTGTAATGGAACTATCAGTCTAGTAGGAGAGGAAGTTGATGGAACCATGTACCTCCTTCCCCTGGTTGTGATCCTGGGTGTTGTGACTGCTGTTCTGCTGATAGTCATCCTCATCCTGGTCCTCAAGATCATACGAGAGGCAAAAACACACAACACAGGTAGGAGCCCATTTCATGATAATATGGGACCTGTGAACTACACTTCAAATGTGGATGTTTTTCCAGTGACATCGTGTACAATGATGATCAGAAGAGTCAGTGTGTACGCTAGATTGGAATTATCCATTAATCTGTTCTCTCATCTCTCTTTATATTATATTCAGGACCTGATTCTCAAAGACAACCACAAAATGATCAGGTAAATACTGCATGATTAAATACTGAATTATAAGCAATTCAGAAACGCTGAAACTTACAACTGTAGTCTATGTCATGATGTTTGCAAATCTACAGAACCAAGATCCAGATGCATTGAATTATTCCGCCCTGAATTTCACCTCCAAGAAGAGGAAGATGGAGAGGAGAAGAGAGAAGGAGATGGACACCCATGTAGTGTATGCTGCTACAAGATGACAAAGTGGAGGAGGATGGAAGAGTAGGAAATTTGGTTTGCCATATCTTTGAATAAACATTTAAATCCTTCTATTGAATGAATGTGTAGTTGAATGTGTAGTTAAAATAAATGTTTTGAAATGTAAATCAGTAAATATCTCTGTATCCCTCTCCAACTCAGTTAGGCCACACAGCTCAGTGGTACAGGGTGTGGTTAGAGAGGAGGAGTTAGAAGTAAAAACACCACTGTTTAATGGCCTCAGAGGAGTAGTTGCCTCTTTTGGCCTCTCTTAGCTTAGATCTCTGTTGTGTGTGTTAGTGATTTGGTTATTTTTTTATAGGGTGACCCTGAGGGGCAAAGTACCCAGCAGTAGACAATTGCATTATACTGATCACTTATAAAGACAAATAAAGAGTTAAACCAAAATTGCCTTTGTAATGATGTTAAACGCCAATTAGGATTTCATGTTTGGGCTTTACACTGATCACAGCCCCCTATTCCAAGAATGACTTATAAGGAGAATATGATAGGGGTCTGAGGTAGAGGAGGAGCGAGTGAGGGTATTGCTCACTTCCTGTGGTGTGAGTGACAGGAAGGAGAAGCTCAGTGTAGAGTGAGACCTGCTGAGGTGAACATCACTGGGTCTCTCATAGACTAACACTGGGGGATGAAATGTACCTTATGCTCTCGCTCTCTCTCGCCCGATTTTCAGTCCACCTGCCGTCAGATAGAATTGGCAAAATATTTGTGTGTAAGAGTAAATGCCTGGGTGATTTGAGGGCGTGGGGGGTGGGGTGGGGGGGCTCTTTACACACGTCTCTTCATCTGTTCATCTGGACGGTAAACACCAGACCCCTGCCGCTCAGTTAGATATGCAAAGTATGTCAAGAAAACAAACAAGCTAAAAGCATTTTCCAAACCCTGAACTGTGTTGGGTTTCTTAAACTATGTGTCCTGAGTTATGAGAATACATCTGTAATCACAAACTATTTCTTCTTACTTCGGGTCATTGGAGGTCGATTTGGGTCACGGGAGGACAGTCAATTAGTCATTTGGGTCTCGAGTTGAAAACATTTAAGAACCCAATGCATTCAGGAAGAGGACAAAGTGCAGATAAAGATGGCGTGTCATCTCAATAGTTTTGTCAACTCTTCCTTCTTCAACAAAAATAAGGTATTGGTAACAAACAAAGGTTTGAAATTAGGCCAACAAAAACATTTATTATTCAATGCTATGGCGGTTACAACTAATATTAGTGTTTAATGTTGGATGCTTGTGATGAAAGCCAAGAGCCAGAAATGCAGCTTTTATGCAGTGGTGTATACATTTACATTATGGATGTCACGTTGTAGAATGATTAGAAGACAGGCTCAGGAATACGTATTAGGGATTTTACTACTCCACCCAACACAAACACGTATATATATATACACACAAAAGGGATGTAACCCAAACAAAGAGCGAGGTGTAACACACGGGACGAGACCCGTAAACAACCAGAGCACAATACACGGTACTCACGAGACCAACAGACATGGGACAATAATCGACAAGGACAATGGGGAACAGAGGGTACATATATACACATACTAATCAGGGGGAATGGGAACCAGGTGTGCGTAATGAGACAAGTCAGTACGGGGTTGGTGGTAATGATCCATGTCAGTTTCGCCAAGAAAGCCGGTGACGTAGACCTCCGGAACTGGTGAACGGCATGAGCAGCAGTACCGGGGGGATCCGTGACAGTACACCCCCACCCACCCCCCACCCCCCCCACCCTACGCGTTTCACCAGCAGCGGGACGACACCGGCCTCGAGGATGACCACAGGGACGCAGTGCGGGTCGGTCAGGGCGCCGACGGTGAAAATCCCTGGTCACGAAACGTCCAGGATGTCCACCGCAGGAACCCAGCACCGCTCCTCTGGGCCGTACCCTTCCCAGTCGATGAGGCACTGGGTCCAGCCTCAGTGAGGGGACCATTCACCACTGGCCTGAGGAGAGACACATGAAAAGTCGGGTTAATGCGATAATCAATAGGGAGTTGGAAACGGTACGTTACCTCATTAACCCTCCTCTGGGCGGGGCTCAGCTGGTTGGAGTAGAAGGCGCAGGGCCGCAGTTTTGGAGGGGTTCCGGTGCGCTGGGACAGCACTCCTGCTTCGGAGGCATCCACCTCGACGATGAAGGGGAGTGAGGGGTCGGAATGTGCCAGCACGGGAGCAGTGGTAAAGCGTGCCTTCAGTGTCTCGAACGCCCTCTCCGCCGTCCAACGAAGCCGCTGGGGACCTCCTCTCAGCAGGGAGGTAAGAGGCGCGACCACCGTGCTGAAGCCCCGGATGAACCTCCGGAAATAGTTGGCGAACCCCAGGAATCGCTGGACTGCTTTCACGGAGTTGGGGATGGGCCATGACCTGACTGCTTGACGCAATATTCTTCCATTTCTACTCCCTCCGTAGATATGAGGTATCCCAAAAAGGACACGGACCTCAAGTCCAGTTTCATGAAGTACTGTGCCTCGTGCATTTGTTCGATGATGGTTGGGATGAGGGGTAAAGGATAGCTGAACGTAACGGTGGCTTTGTTCAGTGTTCGATAATCAATGCAGGGGCGCAGTGCCCCATCTTTCTTCTTAACAAAAAATAAGCTTGAGGAGGCTGGTGACGTAGAGGGGCGGATAAAACCCTGCTGGAGGCTCTCCTGTACGTAGGTCTCCATGGCCTCTGTCTCCGAATAGGAGAGGGGATAGACGTGTCCTCTCGGGAGGACTGCGTCAGACCGCAGGTCAATGGCACAGTCCCAGGGGCAATGAGGAGGCAGGCGTGTAGCCTGGGTCTTAGAGAAAATCAGTTCCAGATCCTGGTATTCCTCCGGTAAATCCACTTGAGTGGCGTGGTCCAGACTTTCCACCATAGTGGTGTTGACAGACACCGCGAGACACCTCCCCTGACACTCCTGCGATCAACCCAGATTCCTCCTATGCCCTGCCTCGGTTAAACATGCAGAGCCCACCTCCATCGGCTCTGGCCACGGAGCATGTGTAGCCATGGGCTCCGGATTCCGCAGGTCTTCGTCGGGACCGCAGGAGGTTGTCCAACCGGATTGCCATGCTGTTAAGCTGGTTGAGTGACAGGTTGTCATCACGACAGGCTAACTACATCTATACCTCCTCCTGCAGTCCGCTGCAGAAAACGGTGACCAGAGCCGACTCGTTCCATCCGGTGGAGGCCACAATGGTCTGGAACTCCAAGGCGAACTCCGAGGCGGTCTTAGATCCCTGGCTAGGTCGGAGTAGACGCTCACCCTCCTCCCGGCCCTCCACAGGATGATCAAACACAGAGCGGAAGAGGATGGTGAAGCGCTCGTAGGACTCGACCTCGGGTCTGCCCGTTTCCCAGACCGCGGAACCCCAGTCCAAGGCCCTTCCGGTCTGTGCCGAGATGACCGTGGCAACCCTGTCTCTCCCGGAGACAGCCTCGGCGTAACAAGTGAGGTACAGGTCGCATTGCAGAAGGAAACCTTTGCATCTCGCTGGCGCACCATCAAAGAGCGGAGGGACAGGGGTATTCCGCGGACCGGCTCAGATAGGACGGCAGGTAGTGGTCGTGTTGAGGCTGGTGCCGGAACCGGTACTGGAAACTGGAGGGACTGCACATTCCCCTCCAACCGCAGGATGGTGGCCAGTATGCCGTCCATGGCGATGCAGAGTCTGGATAGACAGTCCTCATGATGCTGGACCGTCTCTACGATGGTCGTCAGCTCAGCCTTTTATTTTTTTAATTTATTTTTTATTTCACCTTTATTTAACCAGGTAAACCAGTTGAGAACAAGTTCTCATTTACAACTGCGACCTGGCCAAGATAAAGCAAAGCAGTGCGATAAAAACAACAACACAGAGTTACATATGGGGTAAAACAAAACAAAGTCAAAAATACAACAGAAATACATATATATACAGTGTGTGCAAATGTAGCAAGTTATGGAGGTAAGGCAATAAATAGGCTATAGTGCAAAATATTTACAATTAGTATTAACACTGGAATGATAGATGTGCAAGAGATGATGTGCAAATAGAGATACTGGGGTACAAATGAGCAAAATAAATTACAATATAGGGATGAGGTAGTTGGGCGGGCTAATTTCAGATGGGCTGTGTACAGGTGCAGTGATCGGTAAGGTGCTCTGACAACTGATGCTTAAAGTTAGTGAGGGAGATAAATGTCTCCAGCTTCAGAGATTTTTGCAATTTGTTCCAGTCATTGGCAGCAGAGAACTGGAAGGAATGGCGCCCAAAGGAGGTGTTGGCTTTGGGGATGACCAGTGAGATATACCTGCTGGAGCGCAGACTACGGGTGGGTGTTGCTATGGTGACCAATGAGCTAAGATAAGGCGGGGATTTGCCTAGCAGTGATTTATAGATGGCTTGGAGCCAGTGGGTTTGGCGACGAATATGTAGTGAGGACCAGCCAACAAGAGTGTACAGGTCACAGTGGTGGGTAGTATATGGGGCTTTGGAGACAAAACGGATGGCACTGTGATAGATTACATCCAATTTGCTGAGTAGAGTGTTGGAGGCTATTTTGTAAATGACATCGCCGAAGTCAAGGATCGGTAGGATAGTCAGTTTTACGAGGGCATGTTTGGCAGCATGAGTGAAGGAGGCTTTGTTGCGAAATAGGAAACCGATTCTAGATTTAACTTTGGATTGGAGATTCTTAATGTGAGTTTGGAAGGAGAGTTTACAGTCTAACCAGACACCTAGATATTTGTAGTTGTCCACATACTCTAGGTCAGACCCGTCGAGAATAGTGATTCTAGTCGGGTGAGCGGGTGCAAGCAGCGTTCGGTTGAAGAGCATGCATTTAGTTTTACTAGTGTTTAAGAGCAGTTGGAGGCTACTGAAGGAGTGTTGTATGGCATTGAAGCTCGTTTGGAGGTTTGTTAACACAGTGTCCAATGAAGGGCCAGATGTATACAAAATGGTGTCGTCTGCGTAGAGGTGGATCTGAGAGTCACCAGCAGCAAGAGCGACGTCATTGATATACACAGAGAAAAGAGTCGGCCCAAGAATTGAACCCTGTGGCACCCCCATAGAGACTGCCATAGGTCCAGACAACAGGCCCTCCGATTTGACACATTGAACTCTATCTGAGAAGTAGTTGGTGAACCAGGCGAGGCAGTCATTTGAGAAACCAAGGCTATTTAGTCTGCCAATAAGAATGCGGTGGTTGACAGAGTCGAAAGCCTTGGCCAGGTCAATGAAAACGGCTGCACAGTACTGTCTATTATCGATCACGGTTATAATATCGTTTAGGACCTTGAGCGTGGCTGAAGTGCACCCATGACCAGCTCGGAAACCGGATTGCATAGCGGAGAAGGTACGGTGGGATTCGAAATGGTCGGTGATCTGTTTATTGACTTGGCTTTCAAAAACTTTTGAAAGGCAGGGAAGGATGGATATGGGTCTGTAGCAGTTTGGATCTAGAGTGTCACCCCCTTTGAAGAGGGGGATGACCGCGGCAGCTTTCCAATCTCTGGGGATCTCAGACCTTACGAAAGAGAGATTGAACAGGCAAGTAATAGGGGTTACGACAATTTCGGCGGCTAGTTTTA